ACAATCTCATCGTTTTAAACATTTAAAAGGTCTACAGGACAGTCTACTTTCCAGTCCCCTTATGTCTCTCTTAGACAGAAGCTGTCTTTCTTTCAATAAATTCTTCTTATTGAATATAAAATAAAGTAAAATAAAAGATCTATGCAGATACGGTTTGCAATTCACCCATTTATCGGAAACAATTCAATGAGTTTTAGTATAGACATGTTACAAAACTATCACTACAATTTTAGAATATTTTCACTGTCCTTCCCAAAACAAAACAAAAATCAACCCATGAATATTAGCACTCACTCTTTGTTTTTCCAAGGGCACCGGTACTAGGAAATGCAGGAGAAGGAAAATGCTTTCTAGGTTTTGTGGCTATTCTAAGAAGTAGGTTTACATAAGGCAGTTTAAGAGGAGAAAAGCAGTTTTAATTATATAGTATATGTGAGTCCCACCATAATATGAAACCATAGAAGTACTCAGATGATTGAGTCTTACCATCCTGAGCTAGAAAGGAATAGAGGCTTGGCCTTTTGGGAAGAGATGATAAATTATACAAAGGTAAGGGTAGAAATACATATAATGAATGATCTGGACATGGTAATGCATTCCTGTAAGCCAGCACTCAGGAGGGTGAGATAAGAAGATCACAGGTTTGAGTCCAACCTGAGCAAATTTAGTGATTTAGCGAAACCGTCTCAAAAATTAAAATAAAATTAAAAAAGGCTGGGGAGGTAGCTCAGTGCAAAGGCCCTGGGTTTAATCCCCAGTACTGCAAAAGAAAGAAAGAAGGAAAGGAGAGAGAGAGAGAGAGAGAGAGAGAGAGAGAGAGAGAGAGAGGAAGGAAGAAGGAAAGGTCCTCACTTTGTTGACTTCAGGTGACAAGGTTGCCTTGTGACATCTCTTCCTGGAACAGATGCTTTTACTAACGAAAATATTTTTATTTTTGGTACCAGGGATCAAACTCAGGACCTTGTGTTTGTGAGGCAGGTGGCAGTTACTGAGCTAAATCCCTGGCCCTGAAATATCTCCTTTACAAATGTAAATTTCCTGTACATAAGAGAAAACTTCATTTTATTTTAGGCAGCTGAGGCAGAGGTAAAGAGGTTTTTCTCTGCACTGGCTGTGTCTCAATTTCTTTTAGCTCAAAATAATCAATACTCTACTTTGGCATGTAGTGAACCAACCTCTTCAGCACTCACTAGTCTACTATCTACTTTCTTTCTGTATACATTTGCATACTCAGGATGTCTTAAACAAATGGAACCCTAAAATACATGGCCTTTTGGTGTCTGTTTTCTTTCACTTAGTGCTTTCATGTTTATCTGTGTTACAACATGTAGCAGTACTTCATTTTATCCACGAATATTGCATTGCACGGACATTCTACATTTTATTTACCATCTATCATTTGATGGACATTTGGCTTGTTTCCAATTTTTAGCTATTATGAATAATACTGCCCTGAACATTGATGTACAAGGTTTTGGGTGGACATGGTTGTTTTGTTTTTTTTTTTTAGACAGGGTCTCTCTATGTAGTTGAGACTGACCTGGAACTTACTATGTAGCCTAGGCTGGTCTTGAACTCACAGCGAGCCTCCTGCCTCAGCCACCTGAGTGCGGGGATTGCAGGTGTGCACCACCACGCCTGGCTCTGGACATGGGTTTTAATTCTTCTAATAAGTGGGAATTGCTGAGTTGTATGGTAACTGTTTAATCTCTTGAATAACTACCACAGTATTTTCCAAAGAAGTTGCTGCTTTCCAACTGTAGCTCATGAGGGTTTCAATTTCTTTATATGCATGCTCATGTTTGTTAGTATATCTGCCCGCTTTTTTTTTTTTTTTTTTTTTTTTTTT